GGATGCTAAACAACTAATATTATTCATTTTAGGATTTCAAGACAAGAAAGTAAGTATTTCTATTCCACCCTGAAGTTACGTATTACAGTTTGGAAAGCCAGTTCAATTTGGGAGCCATATTGTCAGAGAGAAAATGGACAACCCAGAGGCCAGGCAAAGCAACATGACCAGAAGTCAAGTACATATTTGGAAATCAGGGTAAAAGAGAAACAAGTTGAAAGAAATGGGGTTAGGTTAGAAAAGAGATGATTAGAGAAAGTGACAAAATAGCTATGCTTATAAACTGTGCTCAACCAGCTCTCCTTTGGGCCATGCCCAAATGGAGCAAGTTATAGGAGTCGGGATTTCAGCTCAGTGCAGTACAGAGTTTCCTACCATTAGACTGGCCTCAGCCACAGTAAGCATGGGTGATGCATGTGCACAGGTAGGTGGCAGTGAAAGGGGACCTGTGAGGGAAGTTTCTCAAGTGTGTCACAGCTTGACTAAGGTTTGTAAACATTGCTTTCATACACCTCCAGTGCCTGAAATTGCAGAATGCTGTTAAATAAGGTTGTGTCACCAAGAAATGAGTTCATTTGATGCCAAAGAATGGGAAGCTAGGTGCGTTTTTGTTTTTTGTTTTTTGGGGTTTGTTTGGTTTTTTGTAGTTTTTCTGTACCTTGCTCGTGTGTCTGAAGCATTCTTTTTATCACTAAAGAATTCAAAACACGAAGACAAGATGTTGAAAGAGAGGGAAAGCAGTCCTGTGTTGTGCCCAACGGATGCTCTGCCTCTTTGATGTTAAACTCATTTGCCCAAAGGAGCAGAAGAGGGAAACTTGCAGCCCTTCAATTACATTCTTAGATCTTTTACATTCAAATCTAGAGTAGGGAAGACTGGTAAACGATGTGACCTTTGTATGAAAGAAAAGATCATGGTCACAATCACAATTTTCTTTAAAAAAATTCTTCATAACTTCAACTATGAGACATGCAATAATAACTTTATATCAACTTGCCATTATGGTTCAAAAAAATTAAATTTATCACATACTTGATTTTAAATCAGGCATTTGACACTTCTTAAACATAACTGAGGAAAATGTATATATTGACCTTTTTAATCTTTACCTTCTAAAAAATTTGTTAATAATAAGATACTGCAGAATGGAGTAAAGAAATTTCAAGGTCTCTAAACATCTGAATCA